AAATGTAATTACAATGCCTACACAAATTAGAAATACAATTATTCGTTATCACAATCAGTGACTTCTTCGTAGATAACATCTTCCTCTATATCTTCATCAGCATCTATCCATTCTTCTTCTTCTTCTTCTTCCTCCTGTTTTTCATCTTGTTCTTGTTCATACTGTTGAACAATTTCAAGCTAAGTTTGAGGTGTTGGGCGCGGAGGGTGTGTTCTTCTGGCATGACTTCAACATGTCCGCCATTTGGATTACTTAACTCGATGTTATCGTTGATCGTCTCAGCAATAGGCGGAGGTTGAAAAAAATCTTGTTGAAAAGCATCAAAACCAATGTGTCTGTGATACAATTTTCCCCGGACGGATAGTACATGCACAAACCCATGGATTTCGTGTCCGCTTCATTGAAGGATATTCTACATAACAGACTTTTTCACACCTCCTATCCGATCAACCCACGTGCAGCTGAAGAAAGTAATTGACAATTCTTGCATTAAAGAAGGCATTTTGAGTTCAAGTGTGATACCGCACCCGAACGTCCTTGAAATTCAAATTTTATTCCAAAGCTTATGTATTGAATTTTCCTATTATCGAACAATTGTAAAATGATTAAAGTTTTACGTAATGTATGATTAATCATATTTCTGTTTGGGCTCATATAATAGTAATAGACGTCCAAATAATTAATTGGGTCATCTTATTGATATTGGGGCCCAACATTCTTAAATAAAGATATACAACCCCTCGATACAAAGTAAGAGCGGTCGGGCAGCCCAAATGTTATTTTGGGCCTAACCTGCTAAAAATAGCAACTATCCAAGAATGGGATCTTAGGCCCACTGGAGGGTGACCCACACGGTTAGTAGCCCAGCTACATGAATACTAATGTCATAAATAAGTTATAGAATGATTGGAGAAGAATACAAATGTTTGTGGTCCCATCTTTGGCATTATTAGGCTAAATAATGAGAGTAAGGTTTTCTTTTATAATTGTACATCATACAAATTATGAGGACGATCCTACACATATTAGAGATCAATAATATGGTGTAGAAGGTTGACTTGATCTAAATAAATTGGGATGAGTACAAAAAGTACATCTTATGACAAAAGACAAAACAATATGACCCATCTTTCCACTTTTGGAAGTATTGGTGGATATTTTGCTCCCAAATTAATTAGGGGATATGAGAGTACGCCCCACACCTTCCTAGCACCTGTAAAAAAGGTAGAATAAGTTAGAACACATAAATGGGGTGGACCTATTGAGTTGAGAGCTCAAACAATACAAAAAGTAATAAAAGAGGAGGACCATCCCATGTTTGATTGCAATCAAACACCCTACCCTCTTTTTGTGCACCACACACTCTCCTAGCATGATTGAGAGGACTCTTAAACACCTCCCCCTCACCCCCATTCGAACTCAAAGGGATAAGAAAGAAGGGAGAGCCTCACAAATCATTCTAGAGGGAGATAGGAGAGCTGGCTGCTGGATATTTTCCATGTGCGTAGGCCTTCTTGTTCGACTCATATCTTGAGTTTCATTCATCCAATTAAGGCGTGTGAGGTTCCCACTGAAATCTCTCGAGAAGAAAAATCCATAGACGTGCGGTTTGAAGAAAACGTACCAGTTTAAGGCCTCTAAATCGTTCGAACAAAACGCAATCTTGCAGAATACATTTTTGTATTCAAAGTAAGTTTAAATCCAAAACATTCCTCTCTATTGTCTAAATCATATAAATGATTGAAGAACTATTGTACACTGGTTGAGGTGTATAAAATGTTGTTATAAAATGACTTTATTTGTTGGAAAGGTTAGATACTAACCTAGACAAAACCTTGAAAGGTTAGGGAACGAATTCGCCGGAAAACACCCGTTCTAAGGGCTGTTTTCGTGTCTTCGGTTAGAAGTTGCGCTAGCACCTTTAGGAGGCTGTTTAACATCCATTTATAAGAAAGGAATCAATTCTCAAACCCCCTTGTTCGAAGCTTGAGCATTGGGTTGAGAAAGATCAATTTAAAGCTCATTTGAGGTGAGGATCGACATCTAGTTGCTTACAACTTGTAGGTTAAGCATGAGATTACCTAAATGGCTAAATCATGTTTTTCATGGGTTATGATGCTAAATTATTGATGAAATATTGATATAGTGGCCGAAGAATGAAATGGGAAATGATTTGGAAACGTATTGATAAAAATGGAGTTAAATGAACTATTGTGTGAAATAGACATTTTTACTCATGTATGATTAAGTTGCTGCTACATATCTCTAAATATGTAGGGATTTACAAATGGGATCTATGATGGATAAGAATAATCTTAATAGTATTGAAATACTAGTTAATGATTGTTGTAATTGTTAAGGAATTGAATCTAAGGATTTGATTGTAATTCATTTACTTGATTGTGAAGCAAGTGACTATTATTGATGTAATATGATGTAAGATCATGATGAGGCGGTCCGTAAGGATGTCTCAAAATAGATTTTTGATATTACAATTCTAGGCATAACGAGTGCTTAGGAATTGAGGTCTATGCCAATGTAAGGAGATGTACTTGAGCCCGTGCTCTAGAATTGCATTGGGTAGACATAAGGTTTAGGTTCAACCATGTATTTATGTAAGGAGATGTACTTGAGCCCGAGTTCTAGAATTGCATGGGTGAACATAACGTCGGAGTTTGGTGGAGTAATTAACTTGTGGTTGATGTGCATGGTGATATAGTTGAGTTGTACTCAAGAAATGCACGGTGGAGTAATTAACTTGTGTCATATAGGGTGCATGGTGATGTAGTTGAGTTGGACTCAAGAAATGCAAACATATGTGTTAGGGTTGGACCCTATGTATTGTTGTGACTAGGGGTCACGGGGTTTGGGTTATGTTTTGTAAACAAACCTTGGGCCTACGAGCCGACTACTTGACTTTATATATAAATTAAGTATATTTTGAAAACGGGTAACTTGGGGTTACGGCCTAGCTTATATTATCACCCTATTTGAGGGTCTTGTGTTTGAAATACTTGTTGTATATCTATTAGATGTCATCCACACCAGTACTTTATAGTCGTATAGAGTAGTGACTCCCTTTCAGGGGGGGCGTCCCACCACCATTTCAGGTTGAGGCTAGAGCTTGCTACCTGTGATTGTTGATCGGGCGATCATCTCGGAGGGAAGACTTGGTTCGTGCTTCCTCCATTCTGTTTTTTAAACATTTTAAACATGCTCATGGATATTGTTTTTCATTATGGAGTCTGCGTGCTCGTGTTTGCCCCGTGTGGCATTTGTTTTCAAACTATGTTTTCTGCTGCGTATTCAATTACTTATTATGTATGTTTATGGATGACTTATGTGTGAATGATATTCGAGACGCCTTGTATAATATGGATGAGTTAGACTGCGGCTGACTATTCGTATTGTACGGCGGGTTGTTGATGTGTCCGGATAGGTCCGGGGCGTGACATCAAGAATCTCATGCAAGTAGCCAAAATATTTTGTTTCTGAGTTATAATGGTTGAGACGCATAACCTGCTATTCATCGTTGGTCGGTCTTTACATAATCCACTGTGTGATAGGTGTAAACGTTTATCACATATGAGCGCCAAACTTTTGCATAAGAGGAAGGACCCCATGCTAACGCTTGTAAAAATGGATCTTGAATGCCACAACTCATTAATAGTAACATTATAGTTCTTGATTTTTTTTACCAAGTTGTAAATTGGGAGTTCATCATTGCATCAATTGCATCATCACCAAATGTTGATAAAGATGCTCTATATTCACCGTAAGATAATACAAAAATGAATAGATCCCATTAAATCATGACTATAAAATGGTAAAAAATTGTTATAAATATGAGTTCAACTTACTTATAAAATGGTAAAATTTCTTGAAAATTTATTAGGATGTAAGTATGAGCAGCTTGATATTCTTCATCCAGGATGTGACGATAAATAACAGCTCCTTTACCTCTACCCCCCTAATTGAAAATGGAAACTGCATTGTCATATGAATCCTCTCCAATGTCATCGTTCCGTGCAAATCTCTTTCTTTCGGTGATCACTTCACGCTCAAAATAGAAAGAAGAAAAGTTTGAGACTTCTTGTCGAATATATGCTTGACATATTGAAGCCTCTACATGTGCTTTGTTAGTTGGTCACTTTCTTTTTCATCTCTCTCAAAAACCTGCTATGCATAATTAATGAGATAAACAAACAAAACTCTTATTAGATAATGTTGAAATATCAATTAAATTATGACTAACCTTTCGAATTCGTTCATTCAACGTTCGAAGACAGGCATTCAGAGCTTCATATGGAAGATGTTTCATTGTATCGAAAAATGGTGAAGGCAATATTTTTTCCAAATTACACATGAGAACGGGAACAGGGTCTTCTAGTCTCTTGAGGGCTTCAACGTCCAAAACGGTGGAACATATCGACTGAAACAATAAACTCACTTCAGTAATAGATGCTCATACGTCTGGAGGAAGCATGTCTCTCAGAGCAATCAGCAAAAGTATTACATGAGCATCAGGACTTTTCTTCCCCCGTGGTAAGGTGTTTCATGTCCACACGTATGGACAAGTTAGAGCAATACCCATCCGGGAACATTAGAGACTTAACCCACTGTAATATTTCTTTCTTATGTGCAGTTGTGAGTTGGTAAACTGCTTTTGGAATTTTACCCCTCATGTTCTAGATCAAGAGCAAGTTCAGGTCTATCACATCACATTGTTATATCTTTCCTAGAGGCAAGACCATCTTTGATTCTGTCTTTGAAATCCACCACTGTGTTAAATATATTGTCAAATTATATTTTTTTTGGTTTTCCAATTACTACTTTTCTAATCACCAAAATACTTTGATAAAAACCGAAAAAACCAAAACCTAAAATAAACAGAATCGAACAGATCGTGATTCCAAAGTTTTGAAAATAAAACCGAAACAAACCAAATTTTTTACTTTGATTCGGCATTTAATTTTAAGTGAAAACCGAATCGTTTAAACCGAAAGGACCCTCTTGCCACCAAACTTCAAACCCGAGGGTTACCAGACAAGAGCAGAAATAAAAGAAACACCAAACCGGCTGGGAAAAAAGACTCCTTCCAGCGGGAGACAGCAGCCACTATCTTCCTTCTCCATACGATCCGGCTCCTTCATGTGGTGAACTTAGAGACTATTGCTGGCCGCATCATCGCTGCGCTAGGATTAGAGAGTCTTACCTCCCGCTTGATTTGAACATACCACTCAAGACCCCTTATTCTCTTCCATAGTTCCCGCTAAGAGAGTTCCAGGAATGAAATCCCTTCTGAATGCGACCCTTCCTAAGCCCATATCCCTTTGCATCCGATTCCAAAAAGCCATCGTTGCCCGAAGAAGAGGCTTCCATACTATCAGCACATTTCATAACCCTAGCCTTTTCATTCAACCTGTGAAGCCCCCCAGACTTTCAGTTTCTCTATTTGGGGTTTCAGCTGTTTCGGAATGTGAGAAAGGTCGGAGCTTCCGAACAACGGCGTCCTTGCCGGAACACGGGGAGATTCATCTGATTCTAGGACCAATGTTTGCTGGGAAAACCACCACTCTTCTGCAAAGAATCAAGGCTGAGAGCGTTAATGGCAGGTTCACGTAATTCGTGCTTTCTGTTTTACTTCTCTGTAAATTCCAGCTGAATTTTGCCTCACCGGAAGGTAACATATATGATCAGCAGTTCGGGTTTCTATGTAATGGATTTTACTGACATTGCATTACTTCTTACGAAGAAACAAGAAGATGCTTTCTAGTTTCTATCATAACCTTATTCATGATGTCTGTGTCATTATTGCGCAGAAACATAGCAATTATAAAATCAGACAAGGATAATAGATACGGAATGGACTCTGTGGTGACACATAATGGGGAAAGAATGCCGTGCTGGCCTTTGGCAAGTCTATCATCCTTCAAACAAACCATTGGTTCCGGAGCGTATGATAAGGCAATAACCATGTAAATAATGTTTAATTTCACTTTAACAACTGAGAAATGTTACCATGCTAAAGTGTAGCCTTTTGGTCGAGTCTGATTGGATGAACGGTTTGGGGAGGGAAAACTTAGATGGCTTAGTCAATATGTTGTTATATATTTGAGATTTTATATAACTAAAAGAATAACATATGTGATCGTAAAGCATTTCACTAACCTTTTATTCATATTAGAAACATTTTATGTATCAAGAATTCAAGATATTAGACCAAATGCAGGAAAACCCTCCCCTCCGGCCCTCCCCAAAGCTCTCCATCCAAACAAATTCCCTAGAGAATTAAATTTCCTTCTTCAAAGTTATAAACCACCTTTACACACAGTTCACAGATAATGAAGTAAATTCCTTTTTTGTCTACAAGAAATGTTTAAGCTTATCAAGGAGTTGTAATTTACTGCTATTAACTTATTTATTTATATTGATTTTATTTTGTGTGTGCTAACGAACCTATTTTCTTTCTTCTTTGCTGTTACGTTATTGTAGTTGGAGGTGATTGGCATTGATGAAGCTCAATTTTTTAAGGATCTATATGAGTTCTGCAGCGAAGCTGCTGATCATGATGGCAAAACTGTGATTGTTTCAGGTTTGGATGGTGACTATCTGAGGTATGATGACATCCACCAAGGTGACCAAGGGTGTTTTTATCCAGATTTTGAGGGAAACAAAAATCTTTTGGCTAAATTGCATTTTTTTAATAATTTCATTCTTTGTGTTTTTTGCAGAAGGAGATTCGGTTCAGTGCTCGACATAATCCCCATTGCTGATACAGTGACGAAGTTAACTGCTCGGTGCGGGCTTTGTGGGGACCACGCACACTTTACCCTTAGAAAGACTGATGATACCAAAACAGAACTAATAGCAGGTGCGGATGTGTATATGCCAGTGTGCAGGAAGCACTATGTGAGTGGACAAGTGCTGAAAGAAGCCACTAGAGACTGTGTCCTGGAAGCTCAGGAGGTTGAATGCATCCCTTTTTGTGACACTGCTGCCGTTGTGGTCTGATCTGTAGCTTGTCCCCTGTCAGCTCGGGTGTGTGGCCATGTCCGACGTATATAGTATAATTATCAATTCACCCCGTATAGCTGCTTGCTGGATTGCAAACGTCTAACCTGAACTCCGTGACTGTTTTGGAGACGAGCAGTTGCAGGTTGTCATTATGTTGCTTAGGATATCGCAGCAGAAAGTTTTTCTAATGTAGACAATGCTTTGTAGAAGATTAAGTAATGAATGAACTATTGGGTTTACTTTTATGTGATTGGCATTCACTATTATAGTAATGTGCAGAGCGTACCTTCTTTCTTACAAGTCTAAAGACATATGTATTCAAGGGCATTTTATACATTGAGAGTAGAAGAATAGGGGCAGTATTTTTGGTAAATGTTTTTAGCGCTAGAAAATTATAAGTATGGGTAATTTGTTTTTTACAACCTATAAGATGCAAGTTTTCAAGAAAATTTGTTTTAAGCTTTTGTTGTGTGTAATGTGTATCAAACGGAATAAATGAAGTATTACGTAGTATTAGACATTGGAATGAGTTACAAGCTCCACATAAGCTGTACCAAACATACAGTCACTTGATGGATTTTGTTGCAAAAAGTAAACAACAGCCCTCCTTCATGGGCATACAGAGATACAAAATACATATTTATATTCCTTTCTCAATCATGTGATAATCTTCCTAAATTGCTGGCTTCCAACTGGTAGATCAGATTGATTACATGTCGTCCAATGATATTACGCTAAAGAGCTGAGTTTCGGGTCTTGAGAACCATGACAAGAGACTCGTAAAGAGTGTTATTATGTTTCTGTAAACACACAAGAACTTTGTAAAAGCTTGGGAAATCAAGAAATTGGTAAGGGAAGAAGAAATGCAGTTGGTTGGTTACCTTTGTAACCTTCAAGGCTTTCTGGACAACATAATTTCCAAACTGATGGGATGCAAGGTAAACAAGTTTTGATTCCCTTTCCAAGAGAGTCCCAACAACAGATCTCATCCCAAACTCTGATGATTTTAGGCAATTCTCCACGACATGGCTGCCGCCCATGGTTCCAGCCAAGTGTAAATAATGCCTCTCGAGACGAATGCATATGGCGCGTGAGATATTATCATCATGAAGGGTAAGAACATGCTGAATCACATAGTGCCTGTTGAAATAACCGATTCACGAAAAAGAGCACAATAAATTTTAAGATATTTTTATGCATAACCCTATTTAGTCATGTATATAATTTGCACTACTACACATATGTACCCCCAAGGATCGTGAGAGATGATGTCTGAATGTTCTGCAATTCGATGGAGAAGTATGGATCTATTTATCCCGCCCACGCAATTGAGGCAAGTGTTAAGGGATATGCATCCGTATTGAGATGTGGCTAGCTCTATAACCTCATTTAGTAGAGCGTCATACAACACCTGAGATCAAATCAAGAGAGTGATATAATCTTCTAAAGATGTACTTACAAATGTTCTAAAGCACATCTAGTAGTAGTTGAACAACAACATATTGGCCTTGTGCACTAGTCATCAGTTCAAAAAATCTCTTGGAAAGAATGTTAGTAATGATATGGCCAAAACCGGATCTTTTCAATCTCTTGATCAAGGCCTGAACTGCAGTTGAACTGTCAAAGACACACATTATGTCATTTTATGATTACAAACGTTGAGTTTCCGAAAACAAATGTGCACGAGTGTAATTACTAATTTACCCGTGTTTATGAAGAGCTACATCTATGAACAAGCGTTCATGGGAAGCCAATTTAGAGAAAATCATATTAAGTTGGATTGAGTGGCAAACTTCGAGAAGCTTTCTGAAGATATGGTGTGCGTATTCATTTGTCATGACCTGAAAAATACTTCCAAGAATGACCTCAAATACTTGCTGGCAGAGAGTAAGCTTTCCCTCTTTCAGAATCCTCTGCAACTCCACAGAACCTTCCCTAGTTTTAGCTGCTTCCTGATCCATAATATGTACCATCATATACCTTTAATTTTCAGGTATTTTCATCACAGAACAACCCACAAAGAAACAACAAACTGTTCAAAATGTTGTAGAACATACACCAAAATCATGAAATTTAGTATGTGTACTAAGTTAATAAGTTTGTTACTTGTTATTAGACGTCTTGTCATATTAGAGCTTGGTTTTTGTTATTGTTATTCCATTAAAATGTTATACATTATTCCACCACCACCACCCTACCCATCCCATCCCCCCTATAAAAATAACAAGCAGTAACATGCATGCATGATAATCGGCGGTTGTATTTCCAACGAGTACCACCCTGGCCTTCCAAAAAATAGTGTGTATATTACACAAACATTCATAATATAATATATCGAAAATAGGTTGAACTATATACCTTTTGGTTCCATGTTTTGCTTCCCCTTGCTGAGTGTTTGCTCCATAACACCACATTCATTTGAAATTTTTTATTGTGTTGTTTATAATTCATGTGAATAGGGCGGATCCAAAAATATAGATTGGATTGGGTTGAAGAGTAATTATACTAGACATCAATGCTAGCGGGGTGACAACCTGACATTGACAAAACACTAACAAATATGGTGTCAATTAGGGGTGGACAAAAATACCGAACCGGCATGGTATCGAACTAGGTCGGTATGGTACCGGACCGATAAATAGGGTTTTAAACGGATCTCAAATATTTTTTGTGCCGAATCGGACCGTACCGGTTCCATACAATGTCATTACGGGTTATCATAAATTGAGAATCGGTACCGGACCGAACCAGGCCGAAGTATGGTTTAATTATTTAAATATGTACTACTATAGTTTATCTGAAATTTATTAATTGCCTCATACGTTCCAAATTCATTTGCAAAGTCAGCCTGTTTTGGTCAATGTTAATGTTAAGTCCTCCCTAATGATAAATAATACAATTTTTAATAATTAAAATTTACATATTTAGAAACCATATTCAATCTCTTTAAAGTTACAAAATTCAAATTAAAATTTATGAAGTACTTTTTTTAAAGCTCAAATTAGAATACAATTAAAAAGTGATATCCTAATTAAATGAACAAAAGAAACTATTTGATAAAAAAAGTTGACTTTGCAAATCAATTTGGGACGAAGGTAGTATGAAATACTCCGTATGAAAATTGATAAATTGTGTGGATTTTCGTAGGATGACTAAACTTTAATTTTTCGCTAAACACTTGAAAAAAGTGGCATTGTTTGGTATTAGTATAACACGGTACTGTCCCGTTTGAAAATGGACTGTATCGAACAGGTTTAGGTCTAAGACATAACCGAACCAAACCGTTTCAATAGTCACAATACGGGTATGGATTCGACAAAATATTGGACCGGACCGGACCGTGCTCACCCCTATTATCAATAGACACCGCCCGCTAAAAAATTAGTTTGTATTATAAATTGAAATTTCTAAAAATGACACAATGTTTCTAAAAAATGTGGTCAGTATATAAAAGTGAAACCACATCTTTCCTAACATCTTATTTATTTATTTTATTTTATTTTATTTTATTTTATTTTATTTTATTTTTATTTTTCCCATCATAGGCCTAACATCTACTCCCTCTTGGTCTAACTTTATTTTTTTCAAATTGGATTTGAAACAAAAATGCTTTTAAGAAAAGAAATGGAACAGTATTAGAAGTCAAGTGGTTTTTATTGCTACTTGATTTCAATATTTTTGAATAGGCTAAAAGGTCAAATAGTTACATGAACTAACTTAAAGTGTTTAATTAGCCCCTTATATAGAAGGTTCTGCTTGGCCGTCGCCAATTGGGGCGGTTTCCGGTGTTATTTTTTGATGAAATTTTTTGAGCATCTGCTTCATTAAGTCTAGTTTACCCATACCAAGTTTCACCTAAAAATGCAACGGGGAAGACTGTCAAATGATTTTTTGAAGATAACTGCGCAGTTGAACAGCGCAGTACACTTCGGTAAATCATTTGACTGCCTTCCCGATTTAATTTTTAGATGAAATTTGATATGGATAAATTAGACTTAATGAAGAAGATGCTCAAAAAATTGCATCAAAATATTTCATCGGGAACCACCCCAATTGGCGACGTCCGGACAGAACCTCCTAAATAAGAGGCTAATTGAACAATTTAAGTTAGTTCATGTACCTATTTGACCCTTTAGCATTTAGAGTCTGTTTCCACACCAATATCTTCTCCTAGTCAACCTTATGAGAGAACTTTTATTTTACTATGTATTAAACACAGAGTAGTAACTTTTACTTTATGCGCTAAATTGTATAATAATTAACATGTGTAAGGTTGAAATTATTTTTCTCGTTGGCTACTTCGCTAAAATTATGAATTACTTTCTATTTTTCATATACTACGCAACTTTTTTGGCTTAAATTTACTATTTTCATAATTCTACAGATTTAGTCCCTTCAATGAGAATTTCAGCAGATTCAATCAATTTATCCAATTATAGTGTTATCAAGCTGATCTTAGTACTCTCTTCGTCCCCCAATTAAGTTCCCGGTTTAACTTCACACGTATCAAGAAAATAAATTTGACTTTACTGTGGAGTGCACTGTTTTGCACTATTCAAACACTGTTTGACTCTGTTTGGCACTGTTTAGCACTGTTTGACACTGTTTTAATGTAGATAATTTGCCAAATAAAGAAAGTAAGGAAATGTGAACTTAATTTAGGAACTGCCCAAAAAGGAAAGTGGTAACTTAATTGGGGAACGAAGGAAGTATATTTTAAATTGGACTGGTCTAAAACATCCTAGAGCAAAGCAGATTTAAACATACTAGACCATGCTTTGACAGTTGCAAAATACACATATAATACTCCGAAGAAATCTACCATATCATTTTAGACCAGATAAGATCAAACCTAAACATTACAGTCCAATTAAAAGATCCTTAGTTGATTATATTGTGATGCATTATTGTACTCATATACATATCGAGTATTACTTAAAACTTTTTGACCGCACTGAGATTATAGTATGGCTTCGTCATCATATAAATGGGAAGAAGAGGCGGGAGGTATTACTAGAGCCCCGGATTGTTGAATACCATCGTGCAGCATTGGAACCTCATAAGATTAAGTTTCAAAATAGACAACATATAATTACAATCGAACATGAGATTTAAGAATATATACATGAGAAATAACTATATATATTCCTTGGAGTGGCCGGATAAAAAATCCATCCATATAAATTTTACATGTAAAATAATCAAGCAGACTCGCGCGAGTATATATTTCATCTATCATTAATCAAAACTAGTAATAGCTGAGAAATTAAGGTACATGAACAAATATTTCACTGACATGATCATAATATATTTAAGTAATAATAATGATTCAATATGGAATAAACCTAAGTTGAAGGTGTTGCTTTCTTTCAGAGAGAGGTTTGTGAGAGAACCAAGTGTTTCATCAAATACAGAATTATTAGCAGCAGGGTTTATGGTTGCCATGAGAAACCACTTATGGAAGAAAAGATGGATGAAACTAAATTAGTAGTTAATATATACATAGTTTATGCATTGTTATTTCCATAAAGTCAACTTTGGCCAAGTTTTGTGAGATGAAGAGAGTATATTTGAAATTTAATTTTTTTCCATAAATCAGCAAAATCAATCAATCAAGCCACTTCATACAAGATCATATTTGAACTGACTGAATTAGATCAAGCAAAACTAAACGGCACTCAAACAATAGTAAAACACACACACATATATATCAAAGCAGACCAGACTTGAGATGTTTTAAATTGGACTTAATTAGTGCATGTTTGGTGGGCATAAGTCTATGTCTTCTAGTTTTTGTACTATTTAAAAAGTCTCTAAAAGCTTCTAGTTATATGTTTGGCATGACATATTTTAAGAGTTTTTCCAAAAATAAAAGGCGATCTATTTTGAGATGCTATAGTGAGTAGCATCTTGGAAAAGTCTGTGGTTTTTAGTATTAATTAGTCTTAACAACTTGTATACCAAACAGAACTAAATCAAAAAGTCTGCTTTTTATCAAAGAGCTACCGTCTTTTTCTTTTAAGATCTTTTCAGCCACTAAAAGCTAACCGTTACTAAAAAGCTTAGAAATGTATCTTTTCAGTTAGTTGTGCCAAACATACCCTTAGTGCATGGTTGGCAAACATAAGTCTTTACCTTCTAGCTTTCGTACTGTTTAAAAAGTCTCTAAAATTTTTTAGTTGTATGTTTGACATGAAAAATTTTAAGAGCTTTTCAAAAAATAAAAGATCTTTTTTGAGATGCTACGGGGAGTAGCATCTCAGAAAAGATTGTGACTTTTAGTATTAATGTCGTAACAGCTTGTATACCAAACAGAACTATATCAAACAATCGGCTTTTTACCAAACAACTACCACCTTTTCTTTTTAAGATCTTTTCAGTCACTAAAAGCTAGCACTTACTAAAAAGCTCACAAAAGTATCTTTTCAGCTAGTCATGCCAAACATACCCTTACTTAACTTTTTTGGTTTGGTTTGTTTAAGTATAATCGGATTTAAAGTGATCAGACCAGAAAACCATAAAGTGAGAAAAGATTGTGACATTTATTACACTAAAAAAAACTCGGTATCGGCAGGGATTTTGGCTCGGATAAAAGCCCTGCCAAATTTGGCTCGACATTTGGCTCGGTTAACTAATACATATAAACCGTATCCAATTTGGCACGGATGTATCTGTGCCAAAAGTTTGTCTCGGAAAATCCGAACCAAAACACGATCCAAAACCGAAAAAAAAACCAGAAATTTTGGCTTCTCGACAATTTGATCCAAATGTCGTTCCAAATTGGCGCGGATACGAATCCGAGCCAACATCATTTTGTACTTTTGGTGTTTGACTCAAATATATCCGTGCCAACACCATCCCAACCTAATTCCGTGCCAACTGGGATGACCATTTCCGTACCAACATGAACATGTTGCATTGATGAGGATCAGTGCCAATATCTGAGACAAAAATATTGAGCCAAAATCCGTGCCAAACTTTTTAAAACAATTTTTTTTAGGCTTTTGGCTCAAATGGGTTGTCCGTGCCAATATATAACTGTTACGATAAATCCGTGTCAAATTCCGAGTCAAAAGGTAACTGTTGTGTATTCCGGGGAAGATTTTCAAACAGTTCGATCGACGGATATTTCCGTGCCAAAATAGAACCGTTTTTTATCCAATTATATTTTCCGTGCCAAAATCCGAGCCAAATAACACTCTAAATCCTTGCACATTTCTAAACAAAAAATACATCTTCTTTTATGTATACATCTACACATGAGCTATTCTTAGTGCTGAGTTTTGGAAACAAAAGAATGTGGTCTCATTATGTGTTAGCTACGTGGAATATGTATATTTGGATTTCTTAAAAGAATTATGTTCCGGTTATAAGGTATGTAATTTTATTCGTTTTATTAATCAATTTCAATAGATCAATATATATTTCATGTCTTGAATTATAATTATTGTCATTATTTGCCTTATACCAATAAAATTTGTGTGATAAGTTTTAAAAATTTACTTACTAGCTTGTACTTTTAATAAGAATAAATAAATATTTATTAATTTATTTTACATATTCAGGACCAATGAATAGAGAAAGTAGAAGTTGGATGTATAAGTGACATAAAGAAAATGATAGAGGATTAACTAAAGAGTTTAGTGATGGAGTTGCTGAATTTATTAGTTTTGCACAAAGGCAAACACAATACACGGATGGAAATAAAATAAGATGTCTGTGTACAAAGTGTAAAAATGCCAAGTTTCTTGAATCTGATACCGTGGAGTGGGATTTATATACACACGGTTTTATTGATAACTATTACAATTGGACTTCTCAAGGAGAACCGATTGATACATGTCTTTTGCCACAGACCTTAGGCACATCTAACTATGTTCCCAACGAGATGGCTGGTTGGGGAAATTATGAAGAAATGCCATGGGAGCAGAAAATGCTTTATGATTTTGTCGGCCCTTCAGCATTTCACAATACCCAACCAGATAATGATTTCACTTCACACAATAATGTGAATGAGGAACCAAGTTCATCTTATTATGAGGTAGATGCGCTAGGCACTAGATTTCAAGAAGTCCTCAAAAGCACAGATCAACCTCTGTATTATGATTGTGATGGTCATTCGCAGTTATCAGCGGTTTATGAATTTTTGAATATAAAGACTGAATATAATCTCTCAGAGAATTGCATGTCAAGGATACTAGACTCTGTTGGTAGCATGTTACCGCGTGATCATTGTCTACCTGATACTTACTACAACATGAAAAAGTTTGTCTCAGAGTTAGGTCTTCCCATGATTAAAATTCACGCTTGCCCAATGGGATGCATGTTATTTTGGAAGAACGATGAGACATTAACCCATTGTAAGTTTTGTAATGCGGATAGGTACAAACCTATATCAGCCATGCCTCGGAAACCACGCAAAAGGTCCACGTCATCTCAGTTGATATATCTTCCTTTAGCCCCACGGTTGCAAAGGTTGTATGCCTCAAATGCCACGGATAAACACATGACGTGGCATGTGGAACATGAGATTGAAGATGGGTTAATGTGTCACCCATCAGATTCTGAGGCGTGGAAGCATTTCGACCGGTGTTATCCACAATTTGCTTTTGAGCCACACAATGTTTGACTTGGGTTATGTGCCCAAGTATCATTTCGGGGGACAATTCTCATGTTGGCCAATTATCATTACACCATATAATCTCCCCCCTGACATGTGTATGAAACAACATTTTATGTTTTTATCATTAATGTGTCCAAGACCGGGTAATCCAAAAAAGAGAATTGATGTATACCTGCAGCCATTGGTGGAAGAGCTCAGACAGTTATGGGATGTAGGTGTTCCCACATATGATGTTTCCAGGAATCAAATATTTAATTTGAAAGCTGCAGTTATGTGGACAATTAGTGATTTTCCAGCATATGGAATGCTTTCTGGCTGGAGCACCGCCGGTCTGATGGGGTGTCCTGTTTGTATGAAGAAGTCAAATGCATTTGGCTCAAGAATAGCCACAAGCCATGTTACTTTGATTGCCATCGAAGATTCCTTCCTCAGAACCATCCATATCGAAAGGATAAGAAATCATTTCTAAAGGGCGCACTGAGCTTGATCCACCACCTATGAGGTTTACAGGATATCAAATTTATGATCGCGTGCGCTCCATCCCTACTGCCATAGATGATCCTCTTCATTATCCGGAGGGATATCTGATTCATCATAAATGGATGAAAAAAAGTATATTTTGGAGTTTGCTGTATTGGAAAGATCTTCTTATTAGGCATAACTTGGATGTCATGCATATTGAAAAAAATGTTTTTGATAACATTTTTAACACAGTGATGAACTTTAAGGGAAAAACCAGGGACGGCCTATCTTCAAGAAAAGATGTGGCATTGTATTGTGATAGACCGGAAATTGCTATGAGCCCAGATTACGAAGGTCCCTTCAAGAAAGCAGTTTACCAGGTGACCGATGAACAGAAACAAAAAATATTGGAGTGGCTTATTTAGCTACGGTTTCCTGATGGGTACACATCCAACTTCCATAGATGTGTAGACTTAGAGAAGTTGTCAATGAAGAGTATGAAGAGCCATGATTGTCACATCCTCATGCAACGATTACTCGTTGTTGCTATGATGGAAAATGTTCCGGATAATGTATGGGCATGCATTAGTGATGTTTGTCAATTGTTTCGGTTAATATGCTCGCCTGTATTAAGCCGAACTGCTTTGGAGGAACTTCACCGTAAAGCTCCCACTATTATGTGTAATCTAGAAAAGGTCTTTCCTCCATCCTTTTTTGATGTAATGGAACATTTACTAATCCATCTCCCATTTGAAGCTATGAAGGGAGGTCCTGCATTTTATCGATGGATGTACGGATTTGAGAGGTAAATTTGTTACTAATTTGTTACTAATTAACAAATATGCTTTTATTATTACGTTTGAAAAATAAATTATTCTTTTAATTGTTAAGTATGCTTTTATTAGGTTTTTACGGGAGTTGAAAAAAAGGTGACAAATAAAGCACACGTGGGAGCTTCTATCTGCCAAGCGTACATCGCAGAAGAGGTGTCTACATTTTCCTCCTACTATTTTGAAAGAGAAGTCATGAGTAAGCGAAAAATACCTGCCAGAAATGACGATATTGATCCGGGATTGTATGACCAAATGATTTCAATCTTCAACTATCCTGGGAAAGGTTATGGTAGAAGAACGCACCGTCATGTAGTGGGAGATGAGTTCTGCATTGTGCACACCTACATTTTGATGAACTATCTAGAAGTTATTCCCTTCTACAAGTATGATAATTATAAAATTACTTCATCATTTATTTCTCAATCTAACCTACATTTTGATGAACTGCCATCTTTCATTATACTATATAGTGAGTTTGGAGAATGTTTACAAGATTATTCAAGTGAGGAGGTCGATGCGATGATCGTGAGTG